ATAAATAACTTATCATAACCTAAATGTTTGAATTTAAATTATTATTAAACTTACATGATCTTGCTCATATTCAAGTACACTCGCATACAGAACCCGCTGCTCTTGTTCCTCAGCTGTCATGGTCCCACAGGTCACAAACCTCCTGCAAAAACGCACCCATTTCATGCACACAAATTAACATTGTATAATTAAAAAAAAACTGTTGGGCATTAAACAGCTTAAATGTGTTTACATAATTATTTTGCTATTACACGGTATTGTGTCATGCACAACAAATATGAAACAGGCAAAACTCATAATACTACATTTGCAAATAAATAGCCAGCTAAACAACTTTATATGGCCTATGGGCCAAGGCGGCTCACCTGTTGGCTTCTTCCTGCAGCCTGAGTCTCCTTTCCTCCATTTTTCTTTGAAGCTGCAAGAGCTCAGGAAAACTCCCAAACATTTGAAAAATTACCACACTCAGAAAAAGATATCAGCAGAAGGCAAACCTTGCACACAGCACATTGATTAAACATTCACCCAACATGCTTAAAGTTTAGTTTTTGGTTTTTCACATGTCCACATTATCAATGAGGTAGTGCTTTAAGCTTTCAGTAAATTGAAAAACAAATTGGAGATTTTGAAAAGAATTAATTAGATTTCACTTAAGCTACATTAAATACTTTTTAAAAATAAAATAAACTGCAAATACTATGATTCAATGCAACTTGCAAATAAAACTTAAACTGAGCATTGACATTTTGAACAATAGACGCCTCTGGTTTGCAAAGAAAGAACAACAGGTCACAGAGGCGTTGACCTTCCAACCCTAAACTTTTCCTCCCAAACACTCGTGACACATGCATCTCAAAGGTCAAATACTGATACACTTAAATTAGACATCAAAAACCCTTTTATAATCTTACGTAATAACCTCTACAACAGCATAAGTGATTGACAGAAATTATTGATGGAAAGAAAATAGACGTAACAGATACGATAGCAATTACAGCCACTATTCACTAAATTTTAACACCCGTCCAATTCAAGGCTGATTTTACAACAGAATCACTATGCAATGCATTTAGGTGGAAAATCTGAAACCAGATCTTAACCAAAGCCACAGCTCAAGAAATGGTTAAGGATACTGCATCTTGCCTGGCTTTGGCTATTATCAGATTCTCCATCATCTGCCTCTGGAGTGAGAGAGTCTATAATAAGAAAAAGAAAAAGACCAGTGTTATACAATTAATTATTTCAGTTTCAACTATATTAACATTTACTCATTGGAAGAAGAAAAAAAATTGCAAGAAATTTACATGACAAAGTGCATATAGTTTTAAACATAATACTGCAGCTTTAAAGGAGGGAATTAAACAAACTCGCAGCACACTAAATATTCTGTTTGAAAACATCCACCATCTCCAATCACAAAAACTAAATTACTTTAACTGGTCACCAGTTCTTCCCTATTTGAAAAATCACACTTTTGCCTAATTAATTTAAAATAATCATTCACATTTAGTCATTTAGCAGATGCTTTTATCCAAAGCGACTTACGAATGAGAATAATCCTGTAGTGTCAAATGAGCTTTCAAAAATACAAAAAGTAGTGTATCAATCAAAATTACGTTAAATGGTTGCATGCATAACGCAGAATTAGTAAAATGCAGATTAAAATACTTTTAGATGGGCCATGTCACAGCATGGCATGCCAACTTTCAAACTTTAAATATTTTCATGTCATTTTACGCACTGGATTTTCATATGGCAAAGATTCATTGAGATTAACGGAAACATTTTAGCATAACGTTACATAGCATACCAAGTACGTCAGTTTGCATTTAAATGTATACGATTTTCCCCCAACCCATAAAATAATTTAATATGTAAATCGTTTGAGAAGCATAAGATATCTTACTTTGTCGCCACGCAAATATAATACAATAAGTCAAAACGAACCTTCCAGAATGTCTTGATTTTTTTCCAGTATAAACGGATATTCATCGGTGTTTCTCTGCGTCTCCGGATCATTCTTGAGAACTGAACAGCACACACTGTGTGTGTCCCGCCGAACAACATTAATTTGACCCGCCACCAAAACTTAAACGAAAGAACTTCTACCGTGTAAGTAAATGCGATATTGCTCATTAAAACTATGATAGTATTGCGATAGCGACCTCAAATGATTAAATAGGAATTGTATTGGTCTGCGTGCGGCAATCTATCGCTCTGATCCAAAACCACAGCAGGCGTCGCACCTGGTTGCGGTCGCACCACATGGACATGTTAGTTCAGAAAATCGCGCAAAGCCATTTAAAATAGGAGGTGTGGCGTCACATGTGTTCCACGCATGCGCGCAATAAAGTAACAAACCATGTGCGTAAACAACTGCAATCGGGTCAAAGAGTAAGTTCATTGTTTATGGATTTTCCACACATATATACAATTATATATATATATTATGAACGCTTTGAACCACAAAGTGGATATAATCACAAAGTGAAATATTTTCATTGCCTTTCTGGGTCTATTTAATTAATTTTTTTCCTCTTCCTTTTTATTTTATTTTTTTAAATTTTTTTGCCAAATACTTTTTTCTTCAGAATTTGTTTACAAATGAAAAAAAAAGCAGAAAAATAAATAAAAATACAAAATTATGCAGATAAATATAAAAACTGGAAAAAAGGGAAATGTAAAAAAGTACAGCAGAATGCTAATAAAACAAACAGACTCAAGAACCTTAAGTTTTTAGGGCTCTTGTTATATGTATGCATATAATTATTAATTTATTAATTTCCTAGACACACACACATAAGCATACAATTTTTTCCCCCCAGACTTACCAATGAGGTTTTTTGTGTGGCCTGACCAGGGGTAAGTCTTGCCAGCCGAGCCTCATAATTAGCCTTAAGTTTCTGGTTGAGACGTGATGCTTCTTCAATAGGCGTTAATTCCCTATCATGCACATACAAAACTTATTACTGTGTACATACTGTACATTAGGGACAGTGAGACTAGAAGAACATGATGTCCTATTAACTTCCTTCATATGGATGCAGAAGAGCTGATAGCCTTGAAAGATCAGTTGTCGGGGTCAGTAGAAGTGCACATAACTAATTGTGTGAAACGTGGGGCATCATGTGAACCATTATTAAAAAAAAAAAAAGACAGTGATGAACAACCATATGTTAAAGGTTCTGGACAGCAGCTAACAAAATAGAGATTTGTTAAATAATAAATTATTTATAATAATTATTTAAATTTTAAGCAAAAGCTTTGTCTTGGTCTCTTTTTCTTACAGAGGCATCATCCAGATGAAAAACAATCTTGTTGACATTATTGCTTTTATGCTTTCTTAAATAACTTTTTTTGAATGCCATCTATTTAAAATGAACCATCATATACAGTTTTCAAGTATCTGACAGAGGCTGTTCTGTCTCTTGTAAAACCAAGCATAATGTTCTTGGAGAATCTAATTTAATAAAACTGGGGCATTCATTATGGAGAAAGTTACAGTGAATTACAACACTTTTATTTAATGTAGAGCTCTGAGATGGTGAGACAATTTATGAAACACTATTTATTAGCCTTTATAATTATATAATAGTAATGTATAGTTTTCAGTGTTATTTAATCTTGTTTTTGTTTGTTATCTTGTATGTCTTTGTATATCATACTATATCTTTGGGAACCAGATGTGAACGATCAATGGATATTGGGACTCTGTAGCCATCATTTTGTAGGTTCCCCCACATGCTGTTATGCATGCAGTGGTTATGAAACTCTCAATAGCTCACTGACTTACTTTCGGTTGTCTTGTGATTCCATTGACTGAAGCTTCTGGAAGACTTCAGGTGGCAGGAAGGGGGAGTCGGTCTTGCCTCCCTCAGAGAGGACTCTGCGATGTCTGGTGGGTTGCTGTCTACTTTGGGTCTCAGAAACCAATGCAGCTGCATTAGGTGTTTCTGCAGAAAGAGGAGTTTTGTTTAAACTGAGATTAGGGCTGGGTAAAAAATCTAATGCGATTTTCATGCGAATCTCGTCAGTAGTCGCATTCGATTTTTTGCACAGCCCTAACTGAGATACACTATCATTCACAAGTTTAAGGTGGGAAAGATTTTAAAAAATTTCAATAATTAATAATTTTATCCTGCAGGGGTGCATTAAATTGTTCCAAACTGTAAGACATTTATAATGTTACAAAAGATTTCTGTTTCAAATAAATGCTATTCATCAAAGATTCCTGAAAAAAAAGTATCACGGTTTTCACAAAAATATTAAGCAATAAAAACTGTTTCCAACACTCATAATACTAAGAACCATTATTAATAATTAAGCACCAATAATAATTGAGCACCAACTTAGCATATTAGAATTAGATTTCTGAATGATCATGTGACAATGAAGACTGCTGAAAATTCAGCTGTGTCATCACAAGAATAATTTACATTTTAAAATCTATCAAAATAAAAACTGTTATCTGAAATTGTAATAATATTTCACAACATTACTGTTTTTTACTGTATTTTGATAAAATAAATGCAGCCTTGGTGAGCATAAGTGACTTTGTTCAAACCATTAGAAAATCGTAATTATTCCAAACTTTTAAATAGTAGTGCATAAATAATATTTTTAAAGAAATGTCTATATGTTTAATACATTACCCCCCGGTTTCACAGACAAGGCTTAAGCCTAGTCCCAGACTAAAATGCACGTTTGTTCTGTTTTAATTGTAAGAAACTTCATAGACACCCTGACTGAAAACCCTGAATAAAGAAAATCAAGGCTCACCTGTCATTTTGGGATGATTTGTCACATTAATAGCAGGAATGGTGGTCTGCTGGGAAGCGGACAGAGGAGTGGAGGAGATGACGGGTGTTGGGGACTCTCGCTTTCTTATGATGCATGATTTAATCCTCTCTAAACATTGCTCAACTAGTTTCACCATTTTCTCCAATTCCACCGACTCCATCTCTGTCAGAAGAAGTGCATAAGAGTCATATGTCTCATTCAGCCCATGAAAACAGAACTTCAAAGCTACGATCTGACGGTGGAGTTACTCCCGCCTAATCAACCAGGCAAACTTTAAATAAGCCTGAAAAGTTCATTATGAACAAAGGTGAGATCTAGCCTGATCTTATTAGAGCTTTAAGAATCATTTAATGCAATCTACAGAAGTTAAGATACATTTGAACCTTGTGTGTCTTATCAGTAAAATTAATTGTGATGTCATGATGAAGCACACAAATCTGTGTGACACATTAGCACATACAATCTCTTCCTTAAGAGTTCTCTCTTGAAATAGGAAGCCAGTTTACACCACATGACAATGACTAATGCGGAGGAAATAAAATGCATTGTGAAATAACCTTTGAAGCCTGAAAGCCCACATCACATTTGAATAGAAAATTGGAAAACTAACTCATTTCTTAATTAAGTATGAATAACTTACGTTTAGATGTGGCATCTTCAAGCAAAGCATGAGAGATGTAGCTGATACTTCTCAAGTATTCACAGTACGCCTCCTATAAAGGGATATAAATAATCATAGTGGGTGGCGGGAAGATTTTATTGGATGTGCTCTGCAACACAGTGCCTTAAAGTTATGTTAAAGTCTTTGCTAGATGTCCTGTTCTGGTGTCTCTTAAATTGCCACAACCATTCACAAAAAAAAAAAAAAATCAGAGACACAACATGATGTACCACCTAAATATTTGATCTAAATCTGCACTGAGAATGTGTATTTTCACAACATAAACTCAAACTAACACTGATGACTCTTTAAACACACTCTAATTTCAGACGATTAGGAAACAGGTAATTACATTTAGTTAAGATCAAAAGGTAAACACTCCATATCACTTGATCCCGATCGACTGGACCGCAGTAGTTTTTCGGGGAAAATCATTGGGGTTCTCATGACCATCGGCTTCGATCCGTGTTTACGCTGATAAATTACGTCACTCTCGCATGCATTTATTGGATAAATATGATCATATCTGGACCAAACAGGGCAGGTTTAAAGATTTAAACATCTGTACCTTGTGTCTGTTGCCGGTATCCAGCTGAATGGCCAATTTTACAAGTCTCATGGCATTCTGCAGCGGTCTCTGACTGCTGTCACTTACAGGGGCGGCCATCCTGCCAAAACACAATCGCGTGAGTCCACAACAAGCTGCTCTAGTGACGTAATTACTGCGTTTTCAAAATAAAAGGAGGAGATGTAAACATAGCTGTTAACTGGCATACGTTAAATAAACAAAGAAATACAGCCTGTATTATGATAGAAAAAAAAATTATAAAAAAAGAAAAAAAAAGTTTTCTTGAAAAAGCATCTTCAAGTAATGGTAACCACAGACCTTAATTATGAACTAAAATATAATAAATATAACAATAAGGCAAACATTCAGAAAATAGGCATACATATTAATTACAACAGAAATAAAAAAAAGTGGCTATATTGCTTATAACTATTGTTGTTCTTTTTCCCTGCCATTGAATTCTTTGAAATACCTTATATTTTGTATTGTTACAATGCAATAAATACAATGATATATGAATAAGGTAATAATTTAATACTTATACGGTGTTATTTCAGTATTGTTTATACTGTATATCATTGCAGTATTTAGAAATATTTGCATTTTCATTTTCGTTTTTAATTTGTCACGTGCTTTTGTCATTTTCAATAGTTTTTACAAATATTTATTTCTATACAACTTTAATGTTTATTAGTTTTATTCTTTAAGTAATTATAGTACTTCAGCTTAAACTTCTTCCTTAGATGCAAAGGCAACATTTCTAATTTTCAAGTTGAGCTCAAGTTTTTCTTTTCCTTTATTTAATAATGTTCATATTATTTCAGCTTTGTTTCAATTACTGAAGACTTCTTATTGTTAACAATAACAATATTAGAAAGTACCTGAAGATATCAAACTTAACAATTCTAGACAAAAGACCAACACAGCAGGTACAGTAAATATTTCTTTTTAATACCGTCTCAGCAGTTTTTACATTGGGGGAAACGGGGAACAATTTGCAGTCTCTTAATAAAACACACTTCCTCACTGAGGCCACACACATACAGATGGAGAGGTTTTTCCTTATGTGGCAAATTTCTTTTGTTTGATGGGTGCAGGCAACTGAGTGGCAATGTCCTCTAGAGGGCGCTCCACCACAACCAGAGACTGATCCGGCATCAGCTCAACACACAGGATATCCTAAAAGACAGAGAGTAAAGTTATACACTTTCCATCCAAAATTTCAGGGAAAAAACCCCAAAACATATTTATGTGGCTCACACACACCTTGAAGGTCTTGCAGACTTTGAATGCATGGCTGTGAGATTTCCTCTGTTCCTCTGTGAGGCTCTTCAAAGTCAGCTGATTGTAGAACTGAGTTTTGTCATCAGGCAGTGGCTAGAAAAATAACAAACATATATATATATATATATATATATATATATATAAATCTACCAATATTAGAAATATTAGGCTCTCAATTTTGTAAAGATAGATGATATTTCAGATATAATAAATAACAATATTAAAATAGAAAGGAAAAAGAAAAATGAAAAATAAATTTAAAAACAATTTTGTGAAAAAAATAATAGCACTTTTTGATTATTTGTCTTCAATAAGAGTGTCAAATGCTTTCTGAATACGAGTCTGTCTCACCAGGCTTTGGTCAATGATGCAGAGCATGTACATATCATGCAGGATGACATGGGAAGGATTTTGGGGATTGAACATCACATTGAGACATGGTGTGTCTCTTTCCACCCAGAGGCGATGAAGGCCCTTCCTCTGCACCGTTCTGCTCCAATCCGTGTACTGTTTCTGCTCTATGGAATACTCAAACATCTGTGGTGAACAAAAACACATGAGACCAAGAAATACAATCAAACCCACTTCATGTCACACTTTCACTATTCAATGGAAGTTGTCATAAAAGCTCAGTGATTACCTGTTGATCTGCATGCATCATGAACAGACAGTTTGTTGCTGGGTGAATGCCCATGGCTGTGACAGCAGAACTGTATACAGGAACTGTGCAATGAGCCTGAAACATAGGTCAACGTTAATCATCCATCTTCTGTCAAATGTATCTACAAGTGTATACAAACACTGTGGTCATAAAATGCACCTTCCGTGTCTGCAGGTTGTAGATGTGAACCTCGTGGTCACTGTTTGCGGAAGCCACCCATTTGCCATTCTCGCTGGCTGCTAATAAGTGAATGGCCTGATGGGAACCTGGAGGAGGACAAACTTGTCACATCCATACGTTTTTTTTTTTTCAGGATTAGTGGATGAATAAAAGTTCAAAAGAACAGCATTTATTTGAAATATTAATCTTTTGTAAAATTATAAATGCCTTTATTGTCATTTTCAATCCACTTAATGCATCCTTGGAAAATAAAGTATTAATTATAAAACTAACATTTTCACACCAGCCTAGAGAAGAAACCCTATAGTCCTCTCACCTGACTTAGGTTTAAGGGTGCCCACAAACTTGCATCCTGATTGGCTGATAGAAACTAAGTGCACTGATGACTGTGCAGAAGCGGAAAACAAATGGGAGGAGTCTGAGGAGAAGCAAAGCTGATTGGCTGAGCTGAGTACCTTTGGAAGTTTGGATATCTGAAAGAAAAAAAATCTCTTTGATCTACCATTTAATCAGTTTTAATGGGCCCTTTATCTGAGATCATCAGATTCTTCAAATTGCAATGAGAATTATGCATTTCTTTAGCAAGCTTCAGGGCCATGTAATGTGTTTTTCATGCAGCTCTGTAGAAATCTACAGTACCTTGGTGATGCTGATGTTGTTATTGTCGCAGTGTAGCCTGTAGAGCCGTAGAGTGCTGGCTGTGGAGTACACAATCCATTCTCCACAGGGAGACACGGCACTGCAGCGGATGTGATCCTCACCCTGCAGATAAACAGCATTTCATTCATTTCAGCAGCACTATGGATGTCACAACTCTCACCACATACAGCATAAAATTATACAGATGATTATTCGATATGGGTATTTTGTGAAATCATTCTAATCAATTTTAATGTTTAAAAAATATTGACATTATGCCTTAAAAAATGCATTGATTTTCAAAACAAGCATTGTACCTTCACTTTCAAATGAAGCAGCTTCTCTGGATTTCTTTTTACAAATAAACTGCTTCCTGGTATGCCTGAAAACAGAAGACCAATAGTTAACACAAAATAAATTTTGACCTTTCATACTAAAGTCAACTCTATAAACGATTTCATGTGTTATCAGTCAAAAGTCTGGAGACACTTGACTAAACTTGTTTCTATTCATTTTAAATATTTCCTCATTTAAAGGCTTATGCTTTTCTGCTTGATATTAGATTTATAAAACATTCCAACATGAGTTTGACCAGAAATAAAAATGTTCGGTATGGGAATACTGTATAAAAGCTTCCCAGAATGCACCTCATGAAGACAGTTGAGAGAAAGACAAAGATAAAAATTAGCCAAGGCTGCATTTATTGGACAAAATTACAGCAAAAACAGTAATAATGTGAAATATTATTAAAATAACTATTTTAATATATTTTAAAATAGCATTTGTTCCTCTGATGAATTTTCAGCAGTCATTACTCCAGTCTTCAGTGTCACATGACCCTTCAGAAATCATTCTAATATGCTGATTTGGTGCTTAAGAAACATTTATTATTATTTTGAATGTTGAAAACAGCTACTTAAAATTTAAACAATATCCTTATTTCCATCTATGCCATTTCATAGCTTCTGATTACTTCACTATTCTTCTAAAATGTGTGAAGTACTAATTGTAAAGAAAGATTAGGAGTGTCCAAACAGCTATTCTATATCAAGGATCACACTAAATATCATCCTCACCTTTTCCTTCACTCTCTCCCAGTCTCCAGAGCTCCAGATGACCAGGGTACTGGAAAAGCATCAGACCTGACTTCCTTGCACAGGACAACAGTCTCCTCTGCAATGCAACAGAGCAGAACAAGTCCCTCTCATTAAGAATCAATTACAAACATGTTGTCTATGTGAAAGTCACAATTTCACAATACTCACATGTGGAAAGTGAATCTTCCTCAAAGCCGAGGCCGCTGACCTCTCTTCGATCTTGTCTAATAAAGGTCTCACAACCAGCTGTGCATCCATACCTGAGACGAGAATGCTCTTTTAAACTATTTTAAACAAAAATACTTCAGTCATATGATGAATTGTGTGATGGAGGCAGCTCGGTTGGAATCATCTAAGAATAAGCTCACCTCCTGAAACCACAGCCGTCGTGATCTCCGCCACAGCTCTGATGTCATGCGTGTGGTTCCTAAATGTTCTGGTTCTGACCCATTCTTTGTCATCCTTTTCCAAAACCATAGAGACGAACTGGAACTGTACCACAATTCCTTCTGATGTCCCGACAACAAGGCTGTCCTCATTCTGTCATTCAAGGGTACAATAAGATGTTATCCTGTTCGTATTCTTATAGTATGTCATGTATTCTTTTAAGAGAAAGATTTAAGGGGGATTCAAAAGTTTGGGGGATTTCATTTTTAAAAAATAAATTAACATTTTTATTTAGCAAGGATGCATTAAAGTTGGCAGTAAAGATTTTTAATGTTATAAAACATTCATATTTCAAATAATTGCTGTTTTTTAAAACATTCTATTAATCGAATAATCTTGAAACAATGTATCATGGCTTCCACAAAAATATCATCATGATAGAATGATTTCTGAAGGATCATGTGACACTGAAGACTGGAGAGGTGCATTGAGAGCGGTAGAACTTGCTGTTTCTCCGGTAACGGCTGTAATCAAAGCAGCTCCGCTCATGAATGGTACTTTATCAGATAAAATGAAAATGTCATCGAAACTTTTCTGAAGACAGTCGGTTCCCTTCACAGATACATTCATATAAAACACCCGCGCCGTGTTATGATTTTGAAACGTTTAGTGCTAATGTTTATTCAACGAAGTCAAACGCCACAAATAAATCAATGCATGGGAAACACTGGTAATGTATATCGAAATATCGGAAATGTGTTTAAAAATCATATCACCGTTATTGAAAATAATTATATCGCGATACATATTGATATTGAATTATTGTCCAGCCCTACATTAAGCGCAGCTGATTTTTGTTACTGTACACATAGCATTATTGGAACCCAACCTACCGCTAAGTGTGTTCCTTGCTGATTGCCTGCAATGGTCCAAATTGGCCCTCCATACGCATCTATGGTGTATTTCACTTTCTGGTTTGTCAGATCATACTCCGTTATTCCACCGTTTAGTCCCGCACTGAACAGACGCTCTCCAACCCAGGACAGGCCTTCAATCCCACACTGCTCTCTACCAGGGATGATCTGTGGACATGTGAAACATAAATAAGCATCTTTAAAAACTGTCTGCTGATCAAAAACCATTTTATCAACATATATCTGGTCCCCAATACTAAGACAGAGGTGTCTTATGAGCATCAATTTGCCAAATATGACTGAACGAACCTTTTCTTGGAAAAATCTGTCTGAACAGTGGAAAACCTCCACTGATCCGTCCACCCTCGCCACTGCCATCCTTTCGGTATCCTGGTTGAAAGCCAAGGCTCTGATTCCCGACGGCATGTAATCAAAGAACCGAACCCGGTGAACTTTAAACTCCCCCATCGCTGATCTGAGATCTGTAGACATCATAAGAACATTGTTTTAGTCAGAGAAGAGTCTGCTATTTTGATCAAGTAGTTGAATCAGTGCGGACTGGTCAATACAGAGATCCTGAACGACAAGAGGAGCATAAATGTTTATATAACTGCAAATATAACTATTTAAAAAAAACATCATAATTTGCTTATTTATTTGACAATTCGACTAAGCGCATCATATTTTGGCTTGTCCATGAAAATGTCTTTCTGAAGTAGGTTAACTACAGATTTAGGTGGCACATACTTCATGCCGAATGATCCGAGAAGAACTGAATGCAAGTTCAAAATGACAAAGTCTTTCTCCTTACCTTCTTTTCTTATATATTACTCTCTTTCAGATGTTTTACCACTTAGAAGCAGCGCACACGTTGAGCCGCAAGACACACCACGTTGGTTACCCCTGACCCGGAACGGAAGCTGTCTACAAAACAATTAATTTCAAAACAAAGGTCCCGAAACAAAATAAAACAAAAATTATATTAATATGTAGGTGCGATATGCCAGTTAAAGCTATAATTACAATGTAGCTACAATTTAATTACATAAATCAGATTTAGAATCAAAATTACGCGTGTGTGTGTGTAAAGATATTGAAACGTTAACTTTATACACTTCTTGTTCAGTTGCAAATATAACACATTATACCTATGTATAAAGTATTTAAACCATTTACAAAACAGTAAAAATAAGGGTGAAAAAGGAAAAAATAACTACAAAAAATAAAAGTTAACCAAAACGTGCCAGGGGAGGTAATGATATATATATATATATATATATATATATATATATATATATATATATAT